GGGAATGGTTTGGGATTAATGAACCACCTGCCTGAGCTGGGAATGGCTGGGATAAGTTGATCCGGATTTTATTCCATAAAAAACCCCACGAGGATTTGAGAGAGTGCCAGGAGAGGGGAAGGAGAACGGGAAAGGAATGGAGACATGGAATTGTGGGATGGTTTGGGATTAATGAACCACCTGCCTGAGCTGTGCATGGTCGGGATAAGCTGATCCCGACCTTATTCCATAAAAAACCCTGCTGGGATTTGGGGGTGAGTGCCAGGGGAGGGGAATGGAAAAGGAATGGAAACATGGAATTGTGGGATGGTTTGGGATTAATGAACCACCTGCCTGAGCTGGGCATGGTTGGGATAAGCTGATCCCGACCTTATTCCATAAAAAACCCTGCTGGGATTTGAGGGTGAGTGCCAGGGGAGGGGAAGGAGAATGGGAAAGGAATGGAAATATGGAATTGTGGAATAGTTTGGAGATGTGGAATTAGGGAATGGTTTGGGATTAATGAACCACCTGCCTGAGCTGGGAATGGACAGGATAAGCTGATCCTGATTTTATTCCATAAAAAACCCCACTGGGATTTGAGGGGGAGTGCCAGGGATGCTCCTGGTTTGGGGAGGGGGGTGGGAAAGGAATGGAGACATGGAATTGTGGAATAGTTTGGAGATGTGGAATTGTGGGATGGTTTGGAGATGTGGAATTGTGGAATGGTTTGGGATTAATGAACCACCTGCCTGAGCTGGGAATGGCTGAAATAAGCTGATCCGGATTTTATTCCATAAAAAACCCTGCTGGGATTTGGGGGTGAATGCCAGGGGAGGGGAAGGAGAATGGGAAAGGAATGGAAATATGGAATTGTGGGATGGTTTGGAGACGTGGAATTGTGGGATGGTTTGGGATTAATGAACCACCTGCCTGAGCTGGGCATGGCTGGGATAAGCTGATCCCGACCTTATTCCATAAAAAACCCTGCTGGGATTTCAGGGTGAATGCCAGGGGAGGGGAATGGAAAAGGAATGGAAATATGGAATTGTTGGATGGTTTGGGATTAATGAACCACCTGCCTGAGCTGGGCATGGGGGGATAAGCTGATCCCGTCCTTATTCCATAAAAAACCCCCACTGGGATTTGAGGGGGAGTGCCAGGGATGCTGCTGGCTTGGGGAGGGGGGTGGGAAAGGAATGGAGACATGGAATTGTGGGATGGTTTGGAGATGTGGAATTAGGGAATGGTTTGGGATTAATGAACCACCTGCCTGAGCTGGGCATGGCCGGGATAAGCTGATCCCGACCTTATTCCATAAAAAACTCCGCAGGGATTTGAGGGGGAGCACCGGGGGGGGGAGGGGAATGGAAATATGGAATTGTGGGATGGTTTGGGATTAATGAACCACCTGCCTGAGCTGGGCATGGCTGGGATAAGCTGATCCCGACCTTATTCCATAAAAAACCCTGCTGGGATCTGAGGGGGAGTGCCAGGGATGCTCCTGGTTTGGGGAGGGGGGTGGGAAAGGAATGGAGACATGGAATTGTGGAATAGTTTGGGATTAATGAACCCCCTGTCTGAGTTGGGAACGGATGGGATAAGCTGATCCCGACCTTATTCCATAAAAAACCCCGCTGGGATTTGAGGGAGAGCTGCTGGCTCAGGGAAGGGAATGGGAAAGGAATGGAAACATGGAATTGTGGGATGGAAATGTGGAATCTGGGGTGGAAAGGGCTGGAAAGGTGTTGTGGTTCCAACCCCGTTTTCCAGAGGGAAGGATGTGCCGGGATCAATCCAGGATGGACTCAGACACTTCCAGGGATGGAAAATCCGCGGTTTCTCTGTGGGTAATTGGGATAATCAGCAGGAAAAGTTGGAAGGGAGAGATCTGGAATTACCTGGGAAAATCCCTGGCACTACAGGGAAAAATCCTGGTTAATAGATGGAAAAATCCCTGGTAATTACATGGAAAAAATCCCTGTGGAAAAATCCCTGGCACTACAGGGAAAAAAATTCCTGGCACTACATGGGAAAAATTTCTATGGAAAAATCCCTGTCACTACATGGAAAAATCATGGAAAACTCCCTGTAACTACATGGAAAAAAATCCCTGTTCCTCCATGGAAAAATCCCCATGGAAAAATCCCTGGCATTACCTGGGAAAAATCCTTGTCAATACATGGAAAAATCCCCGGCGTCACATGGAAAAATCATGGAGAAGATCCCAGGGAATTCCAAAAATTCCCGGGAATGTAACGACATTTTCCCTCCTAAACCCAAAGCACGGCACAAGATTCCCAGAGGAATCATTCCCTAAATTATTCTTCAAGCTGGAAAATGGGAATGACACTCGGTTTGACACGGAATGA